AATAGCCTCAGGAAGAATCTCCTAGCCACAGAAATGGACTACAGGAGACGAGTGGTAAGAATATCCAGATGGGTAAAGTGAGAAATACCATCATCAGAGAAAAGATGGATGCTAAAAGAACCATTCTGGAAGAGATTGAGAAAAGATGCCTGATGTGGTATGAACAATTGATAAGAACGCCTGAAGGAAAACTACCCAAAGAAGTCCATTTATGGAAAACTAGGGAAAGAAGAAGATGAGGAAGACCTGGGATAATGAAGTGGAGGAATCCATGATGGGTCATGATTTACGGGAAGAATGGACCTTAGATAGGACATTATGGAAAGAAGCCATCCAAGCTCTAGGTTAAGGAAATTCATTATTAGTGGAAAATCCGAATAAAAAAAATCTGTTGATTACAAATTGCTTTTTTTTTTTTTCGCTATGTGAAATATTAAAAAAAAAAATCTCTGGCTCATTTTGAGTTCTAAACTAACAGTGATAAATACAGAATAAGATGAAAAAATGAAATACATAAAAATATCAGTTCATATCTCACAGTTTCTCGAAAAATAAATGTGTCTTTCTTATCAAAATCATCAAGAACATCCAAAATGGATGACACCTGCATAAAACCTTAACTTCAGAGACTTTCTTGACAACTAAAACAAGATAAATGGTGAAATCTACAATGATATGTTTGTGCAGAAGAGATTCATATCATGGTGCAAAAGAGCTCCTTTCAACAGTTCTAGATCATTCCAAAAATTTAATATTCTAAAATAACCACCAATGGGATTGATGACAACTGGCAGTTTTTTTTACCCCATTTGGTGACAGAAGAGATGCCTGGAGATGCAATGAGATGGTGGGGACTACCGATTGGAACGTGACACGAACTTTATTTATTTAGGCTCAAAGATAGCAAAGAAGCAGATATTAGAAGGGAAATAATATTTGCTAAACAGTACTACTAGTCTGAAAAAACAGCTTAGTGGCCACATTTTATCGCATCAAACAAAATTACATTTGTAGAGACCATTAGCTACCATATATACTAGAAACTATGACTAAGAATACTGAACAGGTTCTACTTTTATTCGAGCAGAAAATCCTTTCCATCCATTCTAAGTAGTGTTGGTGAATGGAATCAGGAAAAGACACACAAACCAAGAAGTTTATGATTTATTTAAAGAGATGAATACTGTTCAAGTTTTAAAACTGGGCCAATCGTGTTAGGCAGGTCATGTGACGCACATGGATGAAGAAGAATTGCGCAGGGAGGTTCTGATGAAACCTCCCTAGAGTATGAGAAGACAAGCAAAACCCAAATATAGATGGATAGACAAAATTGCAACTGACACTCAGAGAGTCCTTGGAATAGGCAACTGGATAGTGGCTACACAAAACCATGACAAATTGTGGAAGTTGCTGGTGGAGGCCCACTTGTTGCTGCACTGAAATAATAATAATAACTAGTAGGCCCGTGCGAAAAATTCGCACAGCATATTGTTATCAGATGCCAGATTAATAAGAAAATAAAATAATGCAACGTATCAAAAGATAAAGAAATCAAATGTTACTTTATCGATAAATATAATGGACAAATAAAACAAAAATTAATTTAAATCTTCATTTTTGTTTGGAACCAACATGTTTACAAATTTCAGTAATCTGTGTCTTTGCTAAACATTGTCCGATTTCAATGATTTTTTTTTTTCCTTTTGTAGGGAATTTAGTAATCTTTTATATAATCACGGGCATAACCAAGGGAAAAGTGTGTAATTTTTTAGTTATTCGCAAATAAAGTTTGTTTTCTTTCATAACTTGTTTGCCTGAATTTTCGGGGTGATCGGACTATTTTGCCCGCCTAAAGGAGAAGGAAGCCTTCGAAATTGGTGGCTCGATCTTGAGATTTGGTGAAAAATTTGCCGATCAAAAACACTATCGATAAATAATATAAACTCCTCCTCTCTCGATCATAGAGACCTCAAGTCGACGAAATGAGACATGTATTCAATGACAGTACTACAATTAATGTAAGGTTGTGTGGATGCGAACCGTATGCCTTGCGTTATCTCAAATATAGTACGTTTTTGGGCTGAAAAACGCAGGATCTGATAGTTCCGGAGGAACTATCCGGGTCTTGCTGTACGCATCAAAATCTTCTAGATCCAATTTGTCCCGTATCGATCTACAGACCTACCACTGTTCAGGTATTGAAGCCTAGCAAAATGTTTGTATCGACTTTATTTAATTTAGAAAGAAAAACAAAAGTGGAGAATACGATTCGCTAACCCCCCGTGAAATTCTGAATCCAACGGTGCTCCATTCATGGTATTTGAGCATGACAGGAGCTTATATTTAGTACAAAACCGATTTCGAGCATTACTGTAATAATATATGTACGAATATGCCCCAGATCTACAGAGTATAATAAAGATGTCTCACTTTGTTAATACGTTCTGCTACTGTTATAAAATATAGTTAAACAAGTGTGAACTACTGCTTCACCGACACAAAAGGAAATTTTGTTTTCATTATATTATGACTAACAATGAAAAATGGATACAGTATGATAATCCTAAGCTTAAGAAACCGTGGTATGCCCGGCCATGTGTCAACATCATCTGCAAAGTCAAATATCGGTAGTTTGAAGCTTTTCTGCATTTGGTGGGATCAGCATGGTGTAATTTTTTATGAGCCTCTCAAACTGAATAAAACTATCATGGGAGATCGTTATGGACTACAATTGATGCATTAGAGCAGAGTCCTAAAGGAAAAAGAGCCACAATACGAGCCGAGACACAACAAGCTGGTTTTATTACATGAAAACAGTCACATAACATTTTCTAATGACGTCTAATTCTCAGAGAATTGTTTGTGAAGTCATCAGATTGATTAGATTTAATATCATCTAAGGGCCCTCCCATTTCGATAAATAAACTGTAACAGGGATGAAAGGAAATATGGTTAGCAAGCAGCAAGGTATATACTTCATGCCAGAAACTTTTAGGTGGTTCCTGAACTCCGTGCACCTTGAATGTTTTGAGTTTAGCTGAAACTTAAACACAAAGCCCTTGAATGGAAAACTTTCATCAACAGATATTGAATTAGTAACCAAAGCTGACCACTAGTAGATAATTAATTTTATTTCTCTAAATTTATCAAAACAAGTAAAAAAAAAATCTGGTGCGTGCAACACACAACTTTCACTTACCGATCTACTTTGAATAGAAATTATTTTTTGGCAATGCTGGACTATTATAAAATTTTTTGTAGTGTATTTTAAACGGAGCTGAAGCTTAAAGCTTACAGATAATAAGTCATTAAGACCATTATAATTACAAAATGTCTATTTAATATATCTATTTAAAAATCTATTCACTCTATCTGCTTTTATAAACCACACAACTTTCTTTGCTTTTATAAACCACAGAATGACGAACTCCAATTTCAACATTTTTGAGTGATGTCATTTTAGTGATATTTTTAGTTGAAAAAGTTATCAATGCAGACAATGAGTAAGTTTCCAGAGGTGGTGATTGCAGTGTTGAAATATAGAACTGAGAATAAAAGTATAAATTTAGGTACTACTTTCTTATGAAAGATGTTCTTAAATTAAATATCTGTAGAAAAAAGTTTTTTTTAGTCTCAACAATTAAAAAAATATATTTTAAATATATCCAAATTTTCACCTCTTCAGGAAAAAAAACTAGAGACCATATCTTTCCTCTTAATTGTCCGATTTTAACGATTTTTTTTTTTTTTTAGGAAATTCCATAAACTTTTATGTTATAAAAGTATATTAAAAAATAAAAAACCATATACAATATCGACAAAAAACCGTATACTTTTTGAGTTATTCGGAATTTAATTTTAACATCACTCGTAACTTTTTTTCCAGCTTCTTTTCGTTGAAGTATGTTATATAGATAAATTTAAAAGGTATGGAGAAAATGACTTTAGCGAAGTTTCATTGAAATCGGTACATTCGTTTAGGCGCTACAGTCTGTAGGAATGCAGGTTTTTCTGCATTTATATTTTTTTTCTCCTTTATTAATTTATTAAATTCTTTCAAAAGTTATATGTAGTGTTTTTTCGTAACTCTGAATAATGAGAAATGGTTAACTTTTTAAAATAAACCATATTAAAGGTACTTTAGAGGAAGACATATATGAACATTGGGCATTTAAGCCCTGTAAAGTGACATCAACGGGGATAAGACCTAAATGATATTAAAGACCACTTAATTATACAATGATACACCGAGTTTGATCAAAATCATTAGTCGTTTTTGAGAAAATTGTAAAAATGTGTTTCACTGTTCATATAAAGTGGCAGTTCCGGTAAGCCGATTTTAACGAAAAAGTTGCTGTCACATCAGGCCCATATACAAACCTTAAATACTTAATATCAGTTTTGTACTAATTTTCGTTTATGAGCTGGACTGTTAACACACACACACACAGACACACAGACACACACACACACACACACACACACACACACACCCAGACCATTTTGTGACACTTGGTAATTTGAACTCAGGGGACCTCAAAACATGTATTTCCGTTGAAAACTGAGATTCAAAAATTTTCACGATCGCAATACTTACCCTTACTATATATTACATATATACGTAAGTGAAAGTAAAAAGAAAAGAAAATTGAAACATTTAATAACCAATATTAAACTATAAAAATATATCTACAGAAAGAAATTAGAGCCAAAACATAATTAGAAAATGAGAGCATGTCCTCATGAACTTTAAAACTTTTGACACAGAAAATTAGAAACATTGCTATGCATCAATTTAACTGAAAACACAAGTAAACTTTTTTTAAAAACAGTTAATAACATCCAGAAACAGAGGAAGGATCTCAATCAAAGGTATAATTAGATCAATATCAATTGAAAACAGAACATAAAGTTAATAGAGAAAAAATATACAAAATCTGAAAGGATGCAGAGTAAACATTAACACAAATTAAATACAAATATAATTAATATAAACTCACATCACTGGGTAACATATGAGACATTGAATATAGTGCTGAATTAGTAGGTGAAGAAGAAAATGTACTCGATTCCAACTCCGTTTTAATGATTGACACATTAATCATCTCTTCATTATCATCTGACATCATCATAACTCTAAAAAAGAAAGATGAATCACTACCATCAAATGATAAAAAGTGAAAGTTTTGTTTAATCATTACCTATCATGAAATAAAATAAGTACTATACTTATAGATACCTGAGTGCCACTGAAAGGAGTTGGGTAGCTCAGTGAGTAAGGCACTGTACTCCCATGCTCCATGTTCTGAATTAGAGTCCTACTGTGGAAGTTTATTATTTATTGTTTTAAAACTGCTGTGGATTGACCCTGGGTATACCTGGGTTCTATGAAACAGGCACCCTTACTTACATAAGCAATTAAGTAGAAAAACCTGGTGATTGAGAGCGATTTCGGTCAAATCACAACCTTGTACGACCGCTAACCAAGACATTATTTCTCTAAAAATACTGAACCAGAGACTCTCCAAGGGCTGTAGAGGTGTAGGTGTAAGAGTGGCATTGAATTGATTACCAAGAAACTTCTCATAAAGAAATCAGAACAAAGATAAGATTTTTATTGCTTACTGGTCGGAAGAATTTATATTATTCTTTACCACTGGTGGTAGGTATAAATTCTTTTTAATTGTAAACCAAATTTTTCCTTTTTAATGCAAAAATTTTATTTCCAATATAAAGCTTTTGAAGAAAACTTAATACCTCAAACATTTCATTCAAGTTCTGAAGCATATTTTTAGGTTGAACTTAATTTTTGACAGGTTATCTGATTTGACAAAAAAATTAAACCTATCTATCAGATTGTATCATAGGAATAATACAACTGGAACAATAGATACAATTTATTTCTAATTTTTTACGAGGTAAAATAAAATTATATTAATTTAAGCAATGTTTTACAGAAAATCAGTAATTTAGCACAGATTTTTTAAACAATAATTTGAAATTTAAGTAAAAAAAAAAAAAAAAATGCTTACCACTCATATGAAGGCTGCTCGGAGAGAATTTATCAAAATTAAATCAAATCTGCCCATGTTGTAGATGCTATGATAGTCACTGTCCCAAATTCACATTCTGAAAAATTTTCAAAAGAAGTCAGATGTGTCATTAATTAGGAAAATCTGTTAATGAAGTAATATATCTTAACAAAACTATTTGAATGTAGCTTCAACATTATTTCATCAATAAAACCATAATTAAGGGATGATAAAAAACTGAAATGTACAAATATGAATAAAACTAATATGGTATGTTCAGTAGGATTGAAAGAATGTCTACTGAACTTATTCCACTTTAAAATAGTTCTGGTTTGATGATTCTACAATTAATAAACCAAAATAAGCATATTACTTGTTTTTAAATCATATTTATATTAAATAAAAATATAATTAAATACCACTAGTGGGAAATACATAATAGTGCTAACGGGTTAATATTCATAACATATGTAAAAGATGGAAAAAAATAATAATAATAACAACAGATGAAAATAAAAACTAACAAAATAAGCAAAAATAAATAGAACTAAAAATAGGACCTCTTTATCATAATTCATGCATACAATAATCACACTCAACCTGGAACTGATTATTATGGTTGGAATAATCACAACCGTATTCCTTCCTCATCTCTGTGGCGAAAAATAGCTATAACATGAGATAGGAGAAAAAATAGGGGTTTGTTGAAACTATCAAATTATAAAAACTTGACTGAATTAGTTTTCAGAATACTTCACAAATAAATTAAATAAAACAGAAATTATAAAAACAAAACAAATCAGTAAATATTGATAAACAATTATATAAAAACAAAAATAGTAGCATAAACATCCAATTCTGACTCTATTGGCCTTCTATGTGGCATAGTATATTAATACTCAATAAACTCAAAAAAAAGGAAGAAAAAAAACTCAAAAAAAAAAACCCACTTAAAAAGAATTCTAAACATAGATTTAAACACAAATTCCTTAAAATTTATACCTATATTCAGTTTTATATCTCAAAAATGCAATCACCAACTCTGGAATCAACTTGCTTACTGTTTTTATAGACATAACTTTTCCAAATAGAAATATCACTAAAATGACATTACTCAAAAATGTGGAAATTGGATTTAGTCATTCAGTCAACTGAAAAGCTCAGAGTCTGAAGTTATGTGGTTTATAAAACTAGATTTTGGTTGCCTACCGTCCATATAATAAATAGACTTTTTATTTAGACATTTTAATGGTCTTAATGATTTGTTACCTGTAAGTTTTAGCTCCGTTTAAAATGCAATTCAAAAATTTTATAATACCCCAACATTGCCAGAAAATAATTTCTATTCAGAGTAGAGAGGTAAGTGAAAGTTGTGTGTTGCCAGCACCAGATTTTTTATTACTGTTCTTTTTTTTCATCGTTTCGGCTTCATGAGACTTTTTCAAGTATTATATTAGTGTTTTAGTAGATAGAGCCAAGTAAAATCGGAAATGAGGATTTCCACCAACCCGTAATAACAAAATTTTGTTTAAAAATGATTTTAAAAGTTTCAAAATACTGTATGATAGATAATACTTGAAAATGGCCCATGAAGCCTAAACACCGGCAATAAAAGGATAGTATTAAAAACATATTTTTTTGGTGAATGTTGGACTAGAACCAATTAAATAATAAATAATATGGCACCAAAAATAAAAAATATTACAAGAAATTATATTGTTACTTTACTTTTAAAGTCTTTCAAGAATTCAAACTTTTCATTTACACTTAATGGTTTTGGTTTAGGGAACCATGTACACAATAAGAAAATCAAAGAAAAGCTGAAAATTTTACTATATGTCAAGAAAAAATTTAAGAGAATCTGACTACTGTAGGTACCACAACTCCTTTTTCTTAAATAAGGTCTTTTGCGAATTCCTAAACATTGAAACATGTTATTTTTTTTTTCTTTTAGATTTAAATATAATCCATTTTTAAGAATATAATCTACAAGTTCTTATGACGACAATTACAATTTATATTTTTAAAAAGGTCATTTAGTTCGATGATAAGTGTTAATTTTATTAAATATACTCTTTTCTATTGAAAACTCAAGGTTCTGAAATAAGTTCAATACATAGTTACATACTGTTTAATATACAGAGGTTTGACTACAATTCATAATTCAGAAGAAACAAAGTAAAAGATAAAAGTTAGCATAGACAATTAATAAATATCTTTAAAATAAGGAATGAAAATTAATACTAAAACGAAATAAGAAACCAATACTTGTATTTAAATATGGTGAGATAGTTAAATATAATACACTAATTCATTTTTTATATTTAATAACTGAGAAAATAAAATTTAATCAATATGTGGTTATAAATGGCAAATTGGCACTAAGGTGTAACGAAACGTTACAATAATGAATTAAAATGAAAAAAATTGTATCTTCAATAAAATCACCTGGGGTATACTTGGAAATAATCCAATACTTTCTTGACAGATGTTTATTGTCATAATTTATCATTATTGCTAAAACACAGTGCCACCACTAAAAATCCAATAAATAATCAGTGACGAAATAAAACTTAATATTAATACAGAAAAACTAAAATTCAAAACCGGTATGGGATATAACTAGTTTAAAATAACAGACCTACCTAACCTTCTGTTAACAAATACCAACCTCTTATCAAACCAAAGAACAATGTAAAAAAAAATATAGACAAATTATTATTTTGTAAAATAAATTACTTTCAGAGCTTATGTTTATTACAAATAAGAATAATTATATGTCATAGTAATTTAAAAAACACAACAAAAAAACATTACGAAGGGATATTTTAGGATAACGCATATTTTACGTTTAATTACCTAGCTCTTTTACTTGACCGACCCAGCATTGTAAGAAATTAAATGAAATAATCGTCTTGATTAACGAAGTAATTTAGTATGAATGTATACAGTGCATTAAAAGTTCTTTCAAACAGGCTTAAAAATCAGTAGTGGGTCCAGGATTTAATTTTGTGTGGGGGAAGAGGATGTAGTCTAACATTTTTTTCCCATTACTTATAGTAATTATAGGAACAATAATGCTTTTAGGGAAAAATTAAAAAAAAAATGTCTTGACACATGCTTATATTTAGTCGCTGTAGGACAGCGTTGTATTGGATTGTCCAGAAAATTATGCAGGATTTTGGTTTAAAAAGAAAAAAGAAAGATTTACAACTGTTTTATTTAATCAAAATAGTCTCCACTACTATCAATACATTTCTGCCAACGTGTTGACAACTTTTCCATTTCCTCGGAACAGAATTTCCCATCTATAGAATTGATTAACTCCAAAAACGCATTTTCTGATTCGCTTTGTTCATTAAATTTTCGTCACGTAAGTAGTGGTCCAGGTGTCTAAAAAATGATAATCCGTAGGCGACAGATCCAGAGAGGAGGGCGGATCTGGCAGAGTTTCATATCCAAGCTCCAACAGGTATGACGGAAACACTATGAGACAAAATACTCATTAGAGGAGTACGGGAGTGACCGGATAGTGGATAGAAGACACCGCCCGACGATAGTGTACATACAGCCTGAAAATATGGATGACACAATCCAAGAAGAAGAGGTTGAGGATGCAGTGGCATATATCAAGCTTGGAAAAGCTGCAGGAATAGATGGCATAGCACATGAACTGATAAAGTTTGGAGGACCAGCGTTGGTGAAAGCATTACAGAACCTTTTTCAGAGGATATGGAACTCTGGGAACATACCTGAGGAATGTGAAGGAAATTTAATTATACCTGTATACAAGAAGGGAGACCAGACCCTATGTGAAAACTACAGGCACATATGCCTCTCTTTGGTGGTGTATAAGGTGTACACAAGGATCCTGGAGCAGCGGCTGAGAGCATATGTCACACCTAACATGGAAGAAAAACAAGCTGCTTTCCGGCCTTCAAGACAAACCCAGGACCATATCTTCTCTCCCAGGATGGTTATGGAGAAAGCGTTGGACCGAGGACGAAATGTTTACCTTGCTTTTTTGGACCACCAAGTGGCCTTTGACTCAGTCCCCAGACAGATGATTTGGACTGTCTTACAGGAGAAGAGAATATCACCGTACCTCATTAGTGCCATTAAATCAGTTTACCAGGATCCAAAACGCGTGGTTAGATTGAATGGAATGAAGTCTGCTCCATTCACATTTTATAAAGGAGTCAAGCAAGGAGATAGCCTCAGTCCAGTCCTGTTTAACATTGTCATCAACGAGGTGTTGAAGCTATGCAAGCGAAGAAAACCCAGAGTAATCGTTGGATATTGGAATATGCTGTCCATCTAGGCCCAGTGCTTCGTTTTTGCAGACGACATTGTGGTGATAGCAGACGATGGAGATTCACTGCAAGTTGTGGAGGAGTGGTCCGAGGAGCTTAAGAGAAGAGGACTCGCCATCAACCCTGGTAAGAACAAGATTAAGCAGGTAGGATGGGAGGAGGTGGAACTCTGGATTGTGAGAAGGACACCGACTCGAGCAAGTTAATATTTATGAATATCCGGGACTTGTCTTCATTCGGGATGGGAATCTGGACCAAGAAGTTATGCATCGAGTGCTTAAAGCTAACCAGTTCTTCTTCCAAATTTATCAGAACACTGGTGGGCCAGCAAGAGGTGAGCAAAGAGGCGAAGCTTAGCATCTTTAAATTTGCCTTCCTCCCGGTATCGTTATATAGAGCTAAGAGCTGGGTACTCTTAGACAGGAATGCCTCACGAGTGACGTCGGCAGAAATGAGGTATCTCAGAAGAATTGCTGGAAAGACGAGAAGAGACTGCGTGATGAACAGGACAGTTAGAGATACCCTTGGAGTTAGACCTGTAAGGGATGTCATAGAGGAATGCCAGCTCAAATGGCATGGACCGGATGAGATGCCAGACCGCAGAGGCAGCGACCGGTTGGATGCCCGAGAATCACATATAATTGTTATATGGGTAGACTAGGAAGAGAGAGGGGATCGACCTCGGGGAAGATGAAGAGAAAGGCCCCGGATAGGGACACATACCGAAGATGGGCCGTGACTACTCCACGCTTAACAACACAAATGAGAGAATAATAATGAGAAATGAGAAATTTCACCCCAATAATAGGATCTGCGTAGAAGGAAAATTATTCCCGAGAGTAGAAAAACTCAAATACCTCGGCTATACAATAACCTTAATGAATGACCAACGGTATAACTAGCGCAAACAGAGTTTTTTTCTCGCTCTCAAAGGTATTGAAATCCCGAAGAATTTCAAGAAATCTCAAACTAAGGGTGCACAATGCTATGATAAAGCCAGTTCTAATATATGACTGTGAGACTAACTGGACACTAACCAGAACTCTAGAAAAAAGTGTTGAAAGATTTGAGAAGAAAGTCCTCTGCACGATAACCGGAACGATCTTGGATCAGAATACTAACACATGGAGAAGAAAGACTAATAAAGAACTGCTTACAGAAACTGGTCAATCAATATCCCATGATATGAAGGCACGGAGGTTAAGATGGGCGGGACATGTAGCTCGTAGCAATCCACCTGGAATCATCTACGTATCAATGAATGCCTCAATATAAGGCAAAAGACCTCATGGAAGGCCAAAAAGCAGATGGATACATAGAATCAACAAAGATACAATAGAGCTGCGTGCAGATAAATGCAATTTTTTCAGTAATATTTTTCACTTTATACCCTACCCTTTCTTTCCTAATGTCTACGTAGAATTCGCGCATATCTCCAGCCTGCCAGTTGTCCTCAAAGGTTTGAGGAATTCTCTTTTTGCCGATCTTATAGTTTTGTTTGCCTTTTTCTTGGTAACTGTGTACTTGTCCTGAGGAATTTGATCTATTGTAGTCAGGACTTCTGTGAACCATTTCTTAGCTTTTCGTTACTCCTAAATACTGACCACTTTCTTAGCTGTTTCTTTTAGTCCTTCCTCTAATTCCTTCCAGTGTTGATCCACCGCGAGACTAATCGATTCCAGGGGTTCGAATTTATTTTTCAGCTCAAGTTGGAATTTGGTTTATATTTCAGGATTTTTCAAATTACGAACTTCATACCTCCTTCTTTCCACTCGATCCCCTGTTGTGTGAATTCGCTTTAATCTCTGACATAGTTTAATTCTAATCAGAGAATGATCTGAATCAATCTGCTCCACGATAACTTCTTACATCTTGTATTGAGCTCTGATGTCTCTTGTCTACCAGCAAATGATCCATTTGGTTTTTAGGACTAACCCAGGTGTACTTGTGGATATCCTTGTGTAGGAACATTGTACTGCTGACGACTAGACCTTTAGCTGCTGTCAGACTGATACATCTCACTCCATTGTCATTGCTTTTTTCGTGAAGGCTTTGGCGTCCGATAATGGGCCTGAATTGGGGTTCACGTCCTATCTTTGCATTAAAGTCACCTATGACTAATTGTATGTCTTGCCTATGAGCTTGGTCCACAATATTTTCCTACTGATCGTAGAAATCATCGTTCACCTCTTCATCTCTATCTTCGGTTAAAGCATACACATTAATTATCGTAATATTATACCAACGACCTTTAACTCGTAATACTCTAATCCTTTCGTTTATCGGAGTGAAGTTTATAATTGATTTCCTACCGCTGGACTAACTACAAATCCCGTGCCGGCTGTCACATTTTCATCATATCTTCCGGAATAGATAGTTACGCCACTATCTGGCCACCTTAAGGCGGAATTCCACTGAGGCAACTTTTAGGCAACATGTAGCATGCGACATTGACGCATGCTACACACAGTCTTTCCATTAAAGGAACATAAAGCGGCAAAAAATATGTCTCCTTGCCGCAGGCTACAAGTTGACCGTTGTTGTCTGTTGAATGCGTCATCTCTCCACATGATGCTGAACAATGTCGCCGTCTATCAACAGCCCTCGGATCGGTGCGGCTTGTTGCGGGCAACATGGAGTGGACGAATGAAAAAACTATGTCTTTTATTGACAATTAACAGAATTCTGCCGAATACTGGAATAATAAAATCACCGAATACAAAGATATAAGAATTAAAAACGATAAGTTGAAAAAATTATTGGATAAATATAATTATGGTGATGCAGGTAAAAATAATTGGTTTATTTATTAATCGTTAATTTATATAAATAGTGAAATATAATTGTACGGTGATAGAGGTAAAAATTAATTGAGAATTTGCCAGCATTTCATCATGAAAAACTTCAGCAAGAAAAGTATGGCTCATCTCCTATAAAAACGGGAAATGTTTTACTTATGAGCTACTGAATTTTTTATTGGACGTTGATATACCCAAATAAATATTGTAAACTGCTGAGTGTTTAGGTGATGACACGATAATGAAGATCAGAGATGACACGAAATATACTTTCTAGCAACCCAAATAGTCCGAGAGCCCATGAGAAAAAATCTACATTATTGGATGAAAATTGTAATATCATTTTTTGAATATTTATAACATCTTTATTTAAAAAATGAGAGTTTACTAGTCGGATCTTGCTTCCTGTAAAAATGGTGACTGACTTAATAAATATTGGGCCATAAACATGAGGATCGAAACGAGATATTCATTGTGAAAAATGTGAGAAAAGTTTTTATTTTTTTTAACTTGTATATATTGGTTA